TGAGGGCCCGGCAGACCCCCGAGAGGAAGCGGCGTTCGCACCCAGGCACAAAACAGCATGGTGGATGCCCTGGCAGTGCGGACAGGGCCGCTGGTGCGGGCAGTCTCGTTGGATATGTCTTTCCAAGCACGAGTAGCACCAGCGGCGCTCCTTCGCGATGGTTCGCCTCGCCGGGACCGGCTTACCCAATAACTTCGGGCACGAAGTTCGTCACGTCACCCGGTGATCGGATGCTCGACAATAGGAGCAGGGGGGCACCTCCCTGGCCGCTAGGCCGCTATACGAAGCTCCACTCGGCCTTAGGCGGGTTGGCGACGACTTACTCGGCGGATCCCGCCTCTCCCTGGGCATGGCTCAGTTGGCCGTAGGTCGTTGACGGTGCCCGCTGCGTTCTCAATTTGCCGGCACTGCTCCTCCAAGAACCGCAGCAGGTCCCTGAAGGGCGGAATATAGGAGGCGCAGTCCCCGCCGTACCTCTCCTCAAATGGATCCGAAGATCGAGGGGCAGGCAGGACAGCACGATGTGGAGCAACAAGAGGGACCATTCGTCCACCGGGAAATCCAGCCGCCTCAACGAATTACAGGCCACCACGACTGGATTTACGATGTCCGGATGTAGTCTGGCCCGGTCCCTAAGCAGCGGGAGGTTTAGAAGCTGCCTAACGTATTCGTCCGCAATTCGCCGGAGTCGTTCGTGAGCGAAAAGAAATGCTCGTAGTCCGTGAGGCTGGAGTCTAGGACTCCCTGTTCCGCATCCGAGGCCACGAGCTCAGTGTAAGCCTCCTCCACTACGGCCCTTCGGGCCGCGACCTGCTCGAGCCGCTTCTCTAAACTATGGACCCAATCGCGTCGCCCTATCAAAGTATGGGCCTTCGCGACCCAGCGCAGCTCCGCCTGCAGGCGAAACGCCTATGGCTTTTGCGATGGCATCACTACTAAATACAAATTACACTACACGCAAGTACACACTACAGTCGGTCAGCAAAGATGCCTCGCTCAGGCGACCGACCCTTTGGCAATTTATATCTACTATAATTATACGGTAGCGATAATTATACGATTATATGATAACGATAATTAATCTACCTACCCGAAATACCTGACGCGTAGGTACCTAACCCTAAACTACACTCCTCCTTCCGCAGCCTAACGGGCGTGGTTCTAACCACCGATCCGCTAACAAAACAAAAAAAGAATAGAATTTTTTTTTATATTACGGCCGGGCGTAACCACGCTCTGCTACCAAAATTGTTACGGCCCTCAGTTACCCCGACAGAACTCGACTAGACTAGGGCTCATGAGTAGACCACTCGACGAGCAACCAGAGGGTTCGGGCCCAAATGGCCTATGGCGGACAAGCATACACAAACTTCCGAGTTCCGGAGGTAGGGTCGACCACAAGGTACAGTCAGGGGTTAAGTTGGTGGTATGTAAGTGGTGTGCGAAAGTGTGTAAATGTAACCTGACGTCACCGATGTAATCGGACAGCAGACCCACATGCACTTCTCTGCTCCCAAAGATGTGCGATCACTGAGTAGGGCGTTCACCTTTATGTAAATTCAAGTCTAACGTCACTTAGCACAAATTATAATCGAAAACGAACGCGATCTCCTCTCGGGTCACAAATTTTTAGCGTTCTACCGACAAAGGAAAAATGTCTTCGTACGATATTAAAATGCCACACAAACTACTCGTCGACGCAAATTAATGGCAATCGAAGTTAAGTTAATCACTCAAACTTAAGAAGAGCCTCGTTGTCACGTAAACGCACGAAAAAGACAACGCAATAAGAGGCGGTCGTTACGCGACCGAACGATTCAAGCGTAATTTGCAGACTGTTCGACACGGCCGCGCGGGCAAGCCGGCCCAAGCCATCGAAACCGGTTGCTAACCCACACGTCAGGCGACCGAGCCGAGCGTTTTGAATGCAAGTTTTAAATGTTAAGATTTGGCCTAAACATTTAATGTTACACAAATGTAAAAAAAGTAAAGTCGATCTGAAAACGTCTAATTAGTAAGAATAGCAAAACAAGTGTTTTCAAAAGGAAAAAAAACGCCGGCGCTATACGGCGGCGGATTGACAAGACTATTTATTAACGAACTTTATTTATGCATGAACGGTTTCGAACTGTTTCAAGCAAAAATAAACCTTATATCATATCACAAGAGCACATGGTACTTAGTAGGTCTATTCAGTCATATGATAGTAATAAGACGGCAGAACAACCATTTTAAGCAAAATTAAACAATAAGACAAACGCATAGTTTTTTTATAACACGAGACTTGTTTTCCAGAAATTTATTTACAACTTGAGTTTGTGAGCGATCGCAATGAGTGATATTATTTGTTACTTAGACTATTTTTACACAACATGATTTAAAACCCACAAAGTAAAAAGAGTACCATGTATAAGTTACACGCCTGGCGTGCCACCCGCACTGAACCGGTTAAACCCACATCCAATGAACTAGGATAAAATTATCCCTTTCAAATGTCAAAAAAGCATAATTTTTTCTCTTTCATTTGGCCCTATGATACGGACGGGGGATATATTATTGTCTTCTCGTTATGTCAAACGGGAATATACAGCTCCTTTTCCCTGTTGCCGTACTTTGGCATAGGGATAAGATAATTTTGTCTCTTGTCAGTGGATATAATCGGGGGATAAATTTTTTGTCCTCAGCCTATGCTAGCCACACTGGAAGGTACCAGCACCGATGATCTTGGAGAATCCCTTATTGAGTACCCAGGCTCAAACTATCCCACTTCTTGGTGTGGATGCTCAAGCTGCCGAGTGTTCTGGAGGGGGCACAACTACACTGTACAAATACTTGAAAGGTCAACGCAGATAAATTACTACGGAACTTCCTCCCACACCATTCAACAGTCTATCCATCCTTTGCCTACGCATAGACATCGACGACAATCCTCAATCATCTATAGGTATGTCTACACCAGTGCGCTTTCCTGTTCATCTTGCGACTTCCTCTAACGCATGCCTGAGCAACCATAGCTCATGCCTCTAGCGAATGCTGATCCGTCACCGGTGGGTTCGCATGCAACATTTCGTACGTTTTAGTAAACAATATGGCAGAAGACAAAGTTAAAACCGTAGACAGAGATAGTTTTGGCTACGGTTAAAAGCTCTAAATCTTTCAATATTGTGTTTTTTCCTTTCTTCAAATAATCTTTCATCCAGATTCTCTTTTCTTGTTTTTTCCTTGAACTTGACACAAAATATGCTACTAGTGCCGTGTTCATATCTAACGAAACCTATCCAAGGAGCGTGAGGTAGACCATAAGCTGCATGCGTCTTATGGCACAACGCTTAACGCAAGATGAACTGAAAGTTGAAACGCAAAATGAACATGAAAGCAAAATTGAAAGCGCACTGGTGTAGACATAGCTTATGAGTAATTTATAGGTTCCATAACGGTAATGCCGAAACAGACTGAGACTCATCAACCACATCCAAATGGCTACAGATTCCGTGATAAAACTATTTAAATGGGATCTGATCCTAAACAGATCACATCCACAGAGATCATGTTCCTTGGCTATTTCAACATCCACCAGGTTAAGTAGTATGATTCTTGTGCTACCATGTATGCTTGTTTGCCTTTATTTAAATAAAAACATTCAAGGATATGTAAAAGTCTGCCAATATGTACTATAGCAGCACTGAAACAAGAAATAATATCACAGACAAACATTTTATATGTCTAAAAGACAGACTCGTGAAAAATTTTAATTCAAAATGTTGTTAGCGTATTAAAAAATTGTTTAAATCAGTGGTGCGAAAATAATACTAAAATTGTTTATAAAAGAACTTATAATACAAGCCTTATTATCATTAAGTTGAGATAAGTTTAACAGTGGGAACTTATGTTTAAGAGAATGTCATTGGGTAAACATACTAAAGGCGCTGATTTGAGATATTCAACTAGTCAGCGTAATTAATTCTGCCAGTTTTATTTACTTTTTTATTCCATATAGATTTATCACTATTGTAATGAATAATCTCCATATTGTAATAGGTATTATTTAAGGAAAGTGCATATTCATATGGTAATCGAACAATATTTTTTATTTATATGATTATCGTATGATTATCATATGATTTATTGATTTTTATTTGTCACCACATGTTGGGCCATAGGCTTTAGCCACGTACATTATAATGACATAATCGTTGGCCGTAAATAAATAAAAATATAATATTGAAAGAATTGAACTTTTTAATTTTAAAAATTATCAGACGAATAAGTATTTTTTATTTATACAATTATTGTATAAATAATTATTTTTTTAATCATACGATTATCGTCTAATAAGCAACAGCCTTATTTAAGAGTTCAATATCTCATGTCAGCTTCAGTGGACTAAGTCCTTTTGGCATAAATGGTTGTTACAAGATAGAAATTATTAAAATATGATACATACAATGCTGCCCATAAACAAATGTTAATTTTTCTTGAATAATCTGTAGAAGCTATGAATACTTAGTTACAGTTACAAATTGAAAGCAAAATTAACTGACACAAAGAACTATAATCTTATAAAGATATAAAACTATTTCAGATAATTAATAGAATCAGGCGCTACTTTGTGGAAGTCCATTATATTAAAGTTGGCAAAAAATTCCTTTGTGTGCATCCACACGATAAAATAAAATGATGATGTACGCAAACAAATTTTTTGCCAACTTTAATAAAACTATTTCCTTGGCCCTCATTTAATACAATGCAGAACCTTTGTGTGCAAATGTTTTTGGAAACATCCTCAGACAAATTTGTAAAAAAAATCTTTGCATAACCTTTTCGACGAGTTAATAATACTTCACTTACAAATTAAGTGTATATCACACAGAGAAATAAAAACTGGTATCACTATTGTTAAAGAATTCACACACTACGGGCACAGTGAATGTTTCATTTTTACGCAGCACATGTACAGCTGACAAAGATCGGGCGTGTGCGAAGCCGGGCCGCGGCTTTACTCAACGCATCCGATAGTGATTCTTCTCCTTAACTTGGCACAACTCGCCCTTAAATTCGATTTCCAGCTCAAAATCAAGGTCACGGTTGTTGCGCTCATTCTGTTTCATGGAGAAGGTGCCCGTAATTTCCTCGCCTTTTTTGACCTGTAAAATTCAAGTTACACTGTATTTATATGTATGTATGTAATATAAGACAAGTCTCAAGAAAAATGGAATGGGAGTATCTCGGAATCAACATTGTGGCGATCACCTTATTCCAAGGGGTTATTTTCATTCATGTATTCCTTGATATTATAATAACCTTTTTGTACAGTTTTTCTTTAATAAAACTTTTAAACTTGTTTATTGACAAACTTTGAACATGTTCTGGGATTTTGTTGTAAAAGCGTATACATTGCCCCATAAATGAATTACTAATTCTGTGGAGTCACAAGCTTATGTTTGTTCCTAGTGTTTAAGGTATGAACATCCTTATTCTTATTAAAGCTATTTATGTTTTTATGTACATACATTACATTTTCATAAATATATTGCAATGCCAAAGTTAATATGTTTATTTGTTTAAATTTTTCTCTGAGGGACTGTTTACAATTTACATTATAAATCGCCCGTACGGCTCTCTTTTACAAAACAAATATAGCTTCAATATCAGTCGCATTACCCCATAGCAAAATTCCATAAGACATTACACTATGAAAGTAACTAAAATACACTAACCTAGCTGTCTCAACATCTGTGAGACTTCTAATCTTTCTTACAGCATATGCTGCAGAACTAAGTCTGCTTGCTAATTTAGATATATGGGGGCTCCATTGAAGTTTCGCGCCAATAGTAATACCGAGAAAAACAGTGGTATCCACAAGACTCAACTCCTCCCCATTTAAGAGCACATTGGTTTTCGAATGTTTTACATTAGGTAAAGAAAAAAAGAAAAGATGCCTTTGTGTCGCAAAAACACGCACGCTTACACTCTTTAATGATTTATAATTCTATTGTAGTAAATTAAAACTGTTTAAAAAAATGTTGGCAATAAAGTCTAAATAAATAAAAATTTAATATAAGCGCCGTAGTAGCTCAGATGGTTAGTGCTCGCTGTAAATTTCACAGTTCGCGAGCAACCCGGGTTTGATCCCCCGTCGGCACCAATGAAATTGTTAATTGCAGTTTTAAGTGCTGATTTACTACAGGCTCAGCAGTGAAGGAAAACATTGTGAGGAAACCTGCATGCCTGAAAAATTAGAAAAAAAATATTTCGAAGACATGTGAAATTCACATTGGGGCTGCTCAGGGAACACTTTCTTGCCCTAAAAACTTCTCAGAAATGAGAGGAGGCCAGCCCAGCAGTGGGACGTACATTATAGGACGTATATTTTATGTAATGTAAAGAAATATTTGCATTTTTAGCTATGGTATTGAAATCCATCATCAAAACATTTTTCAAATATATTAGTAGAGTAATTTTTACAAGCACCCAGAATAGGACAAATTATTTTTATGATACACAAATGGTTAGCTAATGATATGCTAGCGTTAACAAATCGCCAATACAATACTTTCAATATTTTATTTACTTTTAATTCACTGCATTGCAAGGGATTACACACACTTATGGGATAATTTATTACTTGCGATTGTTGCCACTTAAGCGCCTTCCTCACCGGATCGGTGCATTTTCGTTTCTGTACCGAATCTGTACAGATTATTTACCGGGAACCACTTCTTGACTGGTCCCGCGACATTTTACGTGACGCGGCACATGATGTCCCGCGTTACGTAATGTTGCGGGCCATGTTGCGGGTCGCTGTGCAACCTTGCATCGTCACGTAATTTGAGGGTTCCGCGTCATGTTGCGGGACAAACTGTCCCGTAATTTATTCGGGGCTTTAGACTCAAGAAATTTAACTTACTGTCATATACTCGTCAAAGTAAAAGACAGTCTGCTTCCAATGAGTGTAGGGCGCTTCAGGAGCAGTGCTGAAACCGAGTCTCTTGTGAGACTTAGTGAACTCCACATTGAAGAATGTCACCAAAGCTTGTATGAAGTCATTGCGGCGGACCTGTGAATAGACATTTAGATTTGTTTATTGAAATATTAAGCAACAAGTAAACATAGGCCTCTCCCATAGATTGACTCATAGTAAAATAATTTATATAATAATATTTGCCATAGTTGCCGCACTAGCCGGCCGGGATAACCAAGATTTTTTTTTAAATTTTGCACTGTAATTAGTAAGACGCCCATCTCCTGTTTCATTCAGTTTCCCTCTGTCACCTCTTACGACACCCGCATAATGACATGGGATAGTGGCCAGCCATTTATTTCATTTAATTCCACTTATTTGATGATTTCATAAGTGACGGATGGTTCGAGCATGGGTCGTCTTCAATTGACACCTGGTTTCGGGATTAGTGGTGACGATGATCATGCAAGTAATGTCATCTCAAGGGCATTCAGGTTTCCTTAGCTTGGATTCCAGGTCATAGTGGCATTAAGAGCAATGAAACAGCTGATCTGATGGCTAAAAATGCAAGTCGAAATGGTTTGCCATGTAATTTAATTTACTCTTCAGACATAGTGTTACTTGCAAAGAAGAAGTTAAGTAATAATTGGAACACATTATGGAAAGCCACTCAAAATATAAAAGGTAAACACTATGCTGCTATACAATGTGCCATCCCTCCAAAACCATGGTTTTTCAAATTTAATAAAGCTAACAAACAGTAAACATCAACTATTTGTAGACTTAGAATTGGCCATGCTTGTACACCAGTACATTTAGCCAAACTGAGGATTAGGGATAGTTCCCTCTGCGAATGTGGGTTAGACGAGGGAACCTCTGACCATATTTTTTTTAACTGTCCTAAATTATCTTGTTCACTCTATGATCATCTCCCTCCTGACATCCCTCGTCCTATAAATTTTGATTCACTTTTAACCTACACAAATACTCCTTATGTATATATTCTGTGTGATTTTATTAACACTAGTAGTATAAAAGTTTAATGTTTGTCAATACTAATATACTAATGTAGTTATAGCAACTGTGTTTGTCATTTGTTCTAGGTAATTCAACAGTACAACCACTAGTATTACAAGATAAAAAGGGAAAATTTAATTGTTTAAAGAAAATAAGATACTTGTATTATCACAATCTTCTTTAGTACATGGGCATAGTATTTGTAACTACTGAGCTTGTACTCAATAAACACTTCCACGCTGACATTGGCGAATAATTAAAAACAGCCATAAAAAAATAAAGAAGAAGAAGATCATGCAAGTAATTGTTGGAGAGCGGAAGATGCTCTTAAAATTTACAGTTTTCACAAACTCATCATTATTTTACGTGGATCTTAGCTACTTACTTTTAACCTTAAGACAATTATATCCAGCATTTATCTAGGAGACACCACCCTCTCCCTCCCCATACGTAAACGATTTGAAATTTTAAAAATGTGATAAGGTTTTTTTTTTCTCGAAAACGGTGCATTACCTTTTAATGCAAGTGGTATTGTTAAAATCGGGGACCAAACCTCTACCAAATAACACACCTTACTTCCCCAAATTCCTGCCAAACGATTCTAAATCCAACCCCATACAACATTCTATACTATGTTTAATAGCCAATAAAATAAATTCCATGGTTAGTTAATGACATAAAGCTTTTAAAACAATGGGCTGTTATAGCATTTAAACGTTAAGAAGCTTCTAAAAAATGCCTACCTGAAGATGGAACTTGGATTCAAAGTTGAGATCTTCTTTCTTAACAGTATATAAATCAATTTCTTTCAGCAAACACGAATTTGTTACCACCTGTAAAAATATAAAAATAAATGTAAAGTACCACACTCCAAGCCACAGGATCAGCTCAGATTAGGCAGAGAAGTGTAATTTTTCAGAAACAAAATCAGTCATTTATTTTGTGGATTATAGGTATTACATAGATGTTAGATACATAACTATATAATCAAGTTCAACTATGTCCTACACTGTGGGCAATACTTTTGGAAATCAATTCAATTAAGTACCTTAAAAAATAACTGTAATGAAGTGCGAATGCAACATAAACAAAACATTAATAGATATAGAATTGGAGAAAAAAAAAATTAAGAATGTCAGAAACCTAATTATGTCATAAATATATTTAATAATGACTATACTTTTTTTTATATTTATATAGATATATATAGATATTTTGAAAATACGAATAGAAATTTTAAAAAACCAATAGAAATTTTAATATTACTGTGTGTTTAATTAAATCTGTGTTTTGAAATATATAGTGAACAATCATAGTTAAAAAACAGTGTTAAATAAATAAATAAGTTATAATATTTCGTAACTAATTAATCAGTCGAACCGCTGGCCACTCCCTTGCTATTTTAATTTATAAATCGTGCATTTTTAATTCTGAACCTCAGTCCACAGTTCTCCAACAGCATACACAAAGGCGGTAGTGAAAGTATCCACCGGAACCTATAGGTGTAGGACGTGAGCGGCTCGCGGAGTCTCTTCGACAACATTTACTCCGGAGAGTTACGCCCGTCCGGCACATTCGTTGGTCCTTCGAGCCGGATATCATCCGTTTGTATTTCGGAACCGGATACATAGACACTACCGTATTAAAGTCAATAGAATTTTCAGAATCAAGATGCCGATCACTCGTTCGCAAGGAAGGGGAGCCATGGCGTGGACCGTCGGTCTGGAAGGAGGCCCGTCGGACAATACCGACGCCGTCCGCCACCAGATGCCACCACGCTCACCATCGACCACAGAGGGCGTTGAGGCGCCACCTTGCCCCCGCGATGGGGGGGTACTCCTGCCCGTGCCGGCCGCTACAACCGGTACACCGAAGCAGATGAAAAATATAGAGGGCAACGATGACATCCGATGTGCATCACCGCCAACGGTCCGGGAAGACTCCCGCACCGAAGAGCCACCCAGGGGCCACCGAAATAAAAGTATAAAGTCAAAAGGGACTATTCGGCCCAATAGAAAAGTTTTGAAGGCTCGTGAAGAAGTGCTGAGAATTAAATTGGAACTCGCACAAATTTCCTTGCAAATGGCTGAGGAAGAAGATGATTCGGACGACTATGATGAAGATGGTCACTCTAAAAGCGAGTACGTCCGATCTTGGCTCGAAAATAGCGTAGCCAAGCAAAAGCCAACTCATGGCGTCGCCACCGGAGGGGAGGCCCCACTAAACAAAACCGTCACAAGGCCACCCCCGGAGGTTGTCGACCTCAGTGAGCCACAAAAGAAGCTCACAAACAATGATTCGAGGGTTGATGAAGAAAGGGGGCTCTTACCAATCGTATCAGAGTCCACCTACCAGGATCACGATCCGGAAGAAGTACCCAAAAATCCTGTGCCACTAAAAATTAGCCAGGAATCGAAGGTTGATGAAAACAGGGAGCTCCTACCAGCTGTATCAGAGCTCACCTACCAGGATCCCTATCCGGCAGACGTAACGAAGAATCCCCTGCCAATGAAGCCTAACCAGGCATCTGTCACAAATGAAGACAGAGGGCTCCGACCATTTATATCGGAGCTCACATCCGCTATAGCCGCACTCGCTGACAAATCAAAACCAGAGAGTGCATCGTCGCATACTTTCGCAGCGTCGAAAGCTATAATGACACTGCCGTGCTTTAGCGGAGCACATACTGAATGGCTATCGTTCCGTGCCATTTATGAAACAACCCGAGGCTACTTCAACGATATCGAAAATACGGCAAGACTACGAAGAAGTCTACAGGGAAGAGCCTTGGAGACAGTTAGTTCGGAACTCATCGGGCATGCTAAGCCAGATGAGATCATGCGAGAACTGGAGCTACAATTTGGGCGTCCAGACTCAATTGCACAAGCTGAAACCGAGAAGTTACGAGGATTGCCAAGCTGTACAGAAGCGCCTAGGGATATTTGCACATTCGCAAGCAAAGTGAGGGGAAGTGTCGTCACTCTACGGGCACTCAAACGAGACCACTATCTCATCAACGCAGAGCTGCTACGACACCTCACAGACAAATTGCCCAATTCTATACGGGCACAGTGGTATAAAGTTTATACCGAAAAATACGACTCTAGGCCAGACCTCGGTTCTTTCAGCGAGTTTATCACCGAACAAGCTCGCTACTGTAGTGCATTTGCGCCTCCCGAAATCATAAACGGGGCGCAGAACAATCATCCAGTACATAGGACACACACGGCTACCACTAAGCCATCTCCGAAGTGCAGAGTGTGCCAAAAGGAAGGCCACTACGGATCCGACTGCAGAAAATTTAAAGAAGCGGATACCGACAAAAGATGGGAACTCGCAAAACAATATAATTTATGTTTCCGGTGTTTGCGATACAAAAACCAAACACACCAATGTAAAACCACGAAGTGTGGAATAAAAGGATGCACCGCGACACACAATAGACTTCTCCACCATTATAAAAAGGAGAAAACGGAGGTCACACAAATAGAACCTCAGGAAACGGTTGCAAATTCATTCGCCGTGTCAAAACATCACGCTTATTTAAAAATAATACCAGTCCGAGTAATTGGACCGGCGGGAGCTGTAAATACACACGCCCTGCTGGATGACGGATCGACAGTCTCATTAATGGATGAGGAAATAGCCAAACAAATTGGAGCAACAGGGCGGTTGGACCCCTTTAAGATCACCGCCATCGGAAACAATACCCTTGATTCGCCGAACTCCCGACGAGTCAAAGTTTCGCTCAAGAGTCTCCACCGGAAAAGGGTGCAATTCAGAGCACGCACGGTCGCCAGCCTAAATTTGGGGCCACAGACTGTGCGTGCAGTAGATATAGAAAAGTGTAGACATTTAAAAGACCTTAAGGAGCAATTAATATACGACTCCGGCAACCCGAGGATCTTAATAGGACAAGATAATTGGAGACTCTTGATAGCCACTAAAATTCGCAGAGGTCCGCCGCACCAACCAATCGCCTCGCTCACAGAATTAGGATGGGTGCTACACGGGGCACACACTAAAGCCCCGTATCAGCGCGTCCACGCGGCCAATGAGCTGCACAAGAGCGAGGAAACCATAAAGAACCATAGTAAAGTGGATGACTGGCGCTGGGTACCTACCAAATTGAACATAACTGACACCGCTACGAGGGACGTACCACCGAACTTCGACTCAAATCATGAGTGGTACAGCGGCCCATCATTTCTGTACAAAGAACCGTCAGCATGGCCAACCGAAAGACCCACGTCATCCGAACCGACCGGTGAGGAAGAATGCCTCACCATTACAAAATCACATAGAGCTCCGGTAATAAGAGAAGCCATCCCAAATCCAGCAAAATTTTCGAAATGGGAACGCTTGTTGCGAGCAACGGCCAGAGTACTACAATTTATTACACTCTGCCGTAAAACAACAGACAGAACCTTCTACAAAAGAACTAGAAGGAATGAAGAAAAAGATCCCGACTGGAGGAAAGCAAAAAACAATCCGCAACATCGCACAAAGTCCTCCAGTCTAAGAAAAACCGCAGATGTCAAAAAACACATCACACTCGAGGCCGAATTCATCAGAGAGGCCGAAAAACTCCTAATACGTGTCATACAAGAGGACTCCTTCAGACAAGAAATAGACGATCTCCGTAACGATAAAAAGGTCGTCCATAATAGCCGCCTAAGACCACTACAGATAGAATTAAAAGACGGGATCATCGCGCTGCGAAGTCGCATAGCCGCCGCGAAGGGAGTCTCGAAAGACATGAAAGGTCCGGCTATATTGGATGGTGATCATCACATCACCCAATTGTACATAGACTGGACACATCGCAGCCTACATCATTGCGGAACCGAACCTACAATTAACGAGGTTCGACAACATTACTGGGTTATAAGACTTAGACCCACGACGAAAAAGATAGTGAGTCGATGCGTACCATGTCGCATCAGAAAGGCACAACAATCCGTGCCAGCCACCGGTGATCATCCCAGCACACGTCTCGCTCATCACCAGAGACCGTTTACTTTCACCGGTCTGGACTATTTTGGGCCACTCTCCGTCACAGTGGGACGGCAACATCAGAAAAGATACGTGGCTCTATTCACCTGCCTCACATCTAGAGCTGTTCATTTGGAAATTGTTGCAAATCTCAGCGCAGACTCCGCAATATTAGCTTTGAGAAGATTTGCAGCGCGCCGAGGGTGCCCCACCGAAATTCATTCAGATAACGGCACCAACATGCACGGCGCGGATAAAGAATTGCGGGAGGCTTTTAAAGAAGAAGCCAGCCGACGAGGCATAGTGTGGCGTTTTATTACCCCCTCCGCGCCTTTCATGGGAGGGGTATGGGAACGTCTCGTACGATGCGTGAAGACGGCACTATACACCGTCCTTCACGAAAGACATCCACAAGAAGAAGTCTTAGCCACGCTGCTCTGCGAGGTGGAGTATACAGTAAATAGTAGACCACTAACTCACATCTCCGTGGACAGCAACGACAACGAATCCATCACTCCAAACCACTTACTATTGGGAGGATCAGCAAGACTGCCGACACCTGGGGTATTCAATGAAAAGGACATAAATAGCAGAAAGCACTGGCGACGCTCCCAGATACTCGCTGATATGTTCTGGCAGCGTTGGGTCAAAGAATATCTACCGGAACTGCAAAACCGGCGGGAGGCCCATGGTCGAGGCCCCGATCTCCAGGTGGGCGATCCAGTCCTCATTGTTGACGGCCAGTTACCTCGCAACACCTGGCCACGAGGAAGGATTGAAACTGTGTACCCCGGGGCGGACGGACAGATCCGCACTGTGGAGGTACGAACCGCGAACGGCCTAATCAAAAGGCCAACCAAGAAACTCGTGCCGCTGCCGAAGTAGAAGCAACGTCGCTCACCGAAATGGATGCAGCGCCACTACGATGAGATCTTCGCGACGCTGCACGGCGGGAGAGATGTTCGCGACGGTTTAAAGACTTTAAGCAAAAAGTGATTAAAGAATATTAAAGTGTTTTAAAAAGTGAAATTAGCGACAAAATCGAACAAATTGTGTTTTAATATAGTTTTACAGTATGTTTACAACTCGTAATATATTTGTATAAAGTATCGTTTTAATGATAAGTTGATATAAACGACTTTAAACATTAAATAAAATTTCGACCAATCACAGCGCAGCATATCGTGGAACTTTCTAGAAGTTAATTAACTGCGCAATAGTTTATATGAAAATAATGAGAATATTTTTATGGTCTGAAAGAATTGTAAATACGATATTTAGTTAGCATATGATGTATAGATTGAAATAAGTAAATAGATAATTTATGTAAATAAACGCATTTGAGAAATATAGTAAAATTAAAGATTTAATGTGCACTTTTGTTATGTAAATTAGGTACATTTTGATTAATAACTTTTTTGAATGTAAATATATCAAGTAACCCTTATCACATAATGATAAAGGACAAAAATGCCTATTTTATAGTGTATAGCGTGTTAATGTAAAAATTAGCATTATATAGAAAAATTGCGATTTGTGCAAATTACGTAATGAAAATGTTTGATAATAAAAGGGCAAAACCGGAAATTGGCAAGCGGCTCTCTATAGAGTATAGCCGAAGTCTACCTTATGGGGGCAAATCACAGTAACATTGTAGTAGGAAGAACTACCAGTAACAAGCAGTAGTATCCGGTAGTAGCTGAAGTGACTAGTAGCAGAACACAGTGAAAAGTTAAAGTGAAATAGAAAAAGTTTAGCTAGCCGAAAAAGGTCGTAACTGAAAAATCGCAGTTACACATAGTCGGAAAAAGTGGCAACTGAAAATTCTCAGTTGCATATAGTAAAATAGTGTTAGCTAGCTGAAAAGAGTGGTAACTGATATTCGCAGTTACATATAGTGAAAAAGTGTTAGCTAGCCGAATAAAGTGGTAACGGAAATTTCGCCGTTACATATAGTGAAAAGTGTTAGCTAGACGGAAAAAGTGGTAACTGATATTCGCAGTTACAAAAGTGTTAAATTCAACTAAATTTAGTTGATTAATAGCTGCTAGTCAGTAGTGTTAGAAAACCAGCTGCTACCAATAGAAATTTTGGATACTACCAATAGAAATTTGTTACTCCCAATAGATATTCAAAATTACCAATAGAAATAGTAGAGAATACCAATAGAAACTTGTTACTGCCAATAGAAATTTGATATTACCAACAGATATTTTGAAAATACGAATAGAAATTTTAAAAAACCAATAGAAATTTTAATATTACTGTGTGTTTAATTAAATCTGTGTTTTGAAATATATAGTGAACAATCATAGTTAAAAAACAGTGTTAAATAAATAAATAAGTTATAATATTTCGTAACTAATTAATCAGTCGAACCGCTGGCCACTCCCTTGCTATTTTAATTTATAAATCGTGCATTTTTAATTCTGAACCTCAGTCCACAGTTCTCCAACAGCATACACAAAGGCGGTAGTGAAAGTATCCACCGGAACCTATAGGTGTAGGACGTGAGCGGCTCGCGGAGTATCTTCGACAACATTTACTCCGGAGAGTTACACCCGTCCGGCACAAATGTGAAATAAAATAAAATCAGTTTTTTATATTTTTATTACTTTCCGTTCTGACTGACAACCCCAGCAATTTATTGTTTACCTATGTTGACTGTTTTAACATCAAATGCGATGACTGACTATATATTCTTCTTAGACTGTACACCAACCAATGCTTACATGATTACTACACCAACTCATTCTCAAACAATTGTTAAATCAAACTTCCTAAGTTGCATTTTGTATTCACACATTCAGTATGCACAATTAACTGATCTTTTCAATTATCCACAGCAAGAATAATTAAAATGTCACCTGTTTAGCATCAACAACATCAACTAGAGGTTCCGAGATGGCGACCTTCCTAATGGAAGACATGTCGAAACCATATACATCATCCCACCAGTTGATCTTCTCATCCTTATACTGACGGTCTTCAATGCCGCATATGAACAATGTGCATCTGTTGATTAAAGAACAGAACATCATCATCATCATCACCATCATTACAGTTGTCCCCCAAGTAACCCCACAAAACATGACCCTATGCCTTCATCCATCAACTTTCTGCATGTTTTACCAGGTTATCAACTATCTCTATAAATCACTTACTAGGATGAGGCTATCACTCAACAACCTTTTTTCTTCATTAGTTGTCAGATATTTGAGTTATATAGCCAGCCTATGTAACTTCAGCAAAAACCTGACCAGTAAGCTAAACAGAACATATCACAGTAAAATTAATAGCCTCCACATCATGGGTACTCATTTCCTCCCACATATGAGAAGGTTAAAAAAAGGAATATATTTAGTGCAGATACAAACATGAGGCACTAACTCAATGCGAACTAACCTTAGCTAATGCAAAGTTTACAGTAATAAGTTTACGATAGGCAGTATGATTATCTATGTCTCTTACAACTGGCACTGGCAGGGCAACATTGAAAAGATCACAAACAATCTCAAAAACTACTTGTTTTTTTTAATGTTAACTTTGGCTGGGGTTCCAGTCACAAGGTAATGCAGTTGCTTAGACAAATTAACTATTAAGCCAATAGTAGTAATCAAACGACAATGAAGTTTTACCTGTCTGGGAAGAGCATGCCATCAGGCTTGAGCCACTTGTCCCGAGCGTAAAGCACAGTATCCAACATACTCTCATAGAACAAACAATAACCCATCCATTCAGATATGATAATGTCTACTTTGTCCACGGGCAACTCAACTTCTTCTACCTAGAACAAAATGTAAAAAACAAAGGTAAAATAATTACTATAATAAGATGTCCCACCTGATTGTAAGTGGATGCCTCAGTCCATAGAAACTAGAAACTACTGCCTGAAGACTAAGAAGGAATGGTTCTGTGCACTATCCATAGTAAACACAGCTTTCTAGTTTTCTTTTCTATGGTTTTCTCCTATATCATAAAGAGGCAATTTACACACATTTTTTTCAGAATCCAGTTCACCTGGTGGTAAGTGGATGCTGTGGCCCATAGGCATCTATATCTATCCTCAAATAAGAATCAAATTTTTTTTTCTCTATATCTATCCTCAAATAAGAATCAAAATGCTGATGCATTATCACCTATGAGAATTAAGATGGAATGCCCCGTTTCCAGTAAAAAGAGTCTCTGGTTCTCTACACTCACCAAATAACAGCAGCATTATGCTGCTATTTTACACTGGTATTCTGTGAGAGCTGTGGTCGGCTCTACCAGGGAAGGACGACTTTCCCAGTCGAGTCGACCCATTCGTATTACAACTACAATATAGTTGTAGCTTGGCTCTACCATGTATAAAGTAAATTAAATATATTATAATAAATTAAAAACAAAACATAAATTTACATACAGACAAACATGCAGACCGAGAACAATTACTTATAGGCCATACAAACATTTCAATGGAGCCATTATTTAAAAAAAAAATTAAAAAAGAAGAAAAAGAATCCTTACCTTTCCTTTAACAATTTCTATGATGTCATCAAGTCTATTAGCTTCAACAATTTTCCTAGCATAATCCACAATATTGGAGCACTCAACAGCTATCACTTTAGCAGCACCTGCCTTCGCTGCAAACATTGACAGGATGCCTGTCCCACAGCCTATGTCTAAGACTGTCTGAAAGAGGTAATTAAGAGTAAGGTAATGTAATAATTATTTTTCTAAGATATTAATAACATCAATAGTTATTTACTCTCACAATTTAGATTTAACAAAGGTACAGTGTAGACAATATTTTTAAGACTATGAGCAGAAAGCCTGGTACTTATACTAAGTGGCAGCTTATGTTATGAATCAAAGACGTGAGTTAAGAACGCACAGCAAATTACTATGCTATTTAAACATAGGTTAGCATGTCTGGAATGAAATTGAGTTAAAATTACTTCAGCAATATATAGTCTTTACATCTACAATTGTAAACAATACATACAAACAACAGTGACATTTTTTGTTAACTAACATCATTATCCAAAAGATGATCTCTTCATCTCATTTATAATTAACATACACTGACTAGCAACAGCGAGCAGCGTCTAAGGTGTCAGATGCCTGTTACTGCAATTACCAATTCGCTTGCCTTGCTTGCTTGGTGACGATTAAGGCTAATGTTCCGTAGAGGCTGATAATGAAGAATGTTACTTTATTAAATACGTTAAAACTTACTTTTCCTTTAAATAAGTGCTTATTATGATACATGGCGTTTCGGTAGGTAAGGGTGCGGACTTCATCTTTGAGCATCTCCTCGTGGATACCGAAATGCGCGTAAGAGTCAAAATAGTAGTCTCTCGACGTCATCTCTTCCGCGGCGACGTTTTTATCTGGTCCTACAACATTTTAACCTCCAAATAAGAAACAATATCCGACTAACAATGGAGCACATTTTCTACATCAACGCCGGCGTCATCTAGATATATCGAAATACTCACCATTTTCGATAACTGGTGTGGTTGCTGCTGAAGCTCCTTCTTGTGCAACATCCATACTTTCCATTTTAAACTAATACGAATGGAAAGCAAAGCTAAACCTTAAATAAATTTCGTTTATAACCTGTAACTCGTTTACTATACGCCAATCGATCCGTCACGAAGAACGACGAAATACGAGTAACAAACTTAAATTTTTCAGGCCTATTACTTTAAATATTATGCCTAATGCTAATTCTAGGAGATTATGGTAGAAAATATCACAATTTACAATGGGTAAACCCTAAATTTATGAAAACGCTCGCTAAGAAGAACGAGCTTTTCTTCAAAATGGTTTGAAAAGACAGATTAAAAAGCGCGGCTTATACTTAAACAAACGTATATAGCCTGTGGACGGAAAACAGCCAAAATATATTTTTTGATGTTTTTTTAAAAGATATAATATAAAAAAATAATATTACTTTTTTTCAAAATAATTTACCTATATATTATTGTTTACGTCCGAACGGTGGTTTCGGAATCGACGTCAGAGGGCGCGCGGCTCGGTGCCATACCGGTTTTGACGTCGGTCGAGCGGTAGGTGTTGAGAACGCGTAAAGGTGCAAACGAGTCGTCTGCCAGCTGTGCTAACGCCAGCACGCTGTCAATTTTTGTTCGGGAACTCGGAATAATTAGGCGCGGCTAGTAAATATACTGTCTAGGATTTGTAACGCGCATTCCTTGCTGGAGAGCTTCCCCGGGACTCATTGTGTCTGACTCAGAATCTGTATAAATGCATTCGACAATATTAGCTAATGCGGCCTTTGATATTCTAGAAATATCTGTTGCTACGCGAAACGGTAGTGACCTTTGATCCGGACACTCCCTGTTCGTTTTGTGTTAAGCTTTATAACAAACGAGAGTTAGTGGCTTCTGTAAGTAAGTTAATAGTACGATAGAGTTAATGGACTGTCATCGTGACGAACGAAGAAAGTGACTGTGGACGGCGCCGCGGAAGATTACCTCAATTTGGAGCGGTGCTGACGTCCGGGCTGCTGCCGAGGGCCAAGGTCTAATAAGGTCAATCACCACCAGTCACATCCAGATACACATCACAGCACCTTATTTCCCTTGCACCACACAACGACATACGACCTGTCCGAATCCTGAGGGACCAGTCGCCTTGGATATAGGTAAGTAAGCTCCGTCTAATATTCTCCCTGTTGAATAGCAGCAGGATCGAACGCCCCCCCCCCCCCCTTATTGTTTATTGTAATTAGAGACTTTCCACTTTGGCCTTAGGAGGCCCGACCTACGTCTGCTCGTTGAAACTCTGCTGAATGGGCCCTGGAGGATATGACCTTTATGGGAGCAGCCCAAAGAGGAGCAGCCGTAGGCCGTAACAAACTGGTAGCAGAGCGTGGTTCCGGGTTCGATTCCCTGGACGATCCCGACCATAGTGTGTGATAAAAATTAAGCAATTCTGGTGGCAGGGAGCGTTGGTTTGATTGGGTTAATTTTGTATCTACAATCACGCCCGTCGGTAATACGTAAAAACATTTTTTTTGTACGTAATAATAAAATTATTTTACTTTGTTGCTTGCCGTTTTTTTATTGTTTGTGGGTAATTGCGGTTGCCACGCCCTAGGTTGCGCAAGCGACAGTTTTTCTAGAGATATACGTCATGTAGGTAGATGGTTATTATCACGTAATCGGTTAATTATCGTTGTCGGATAGTTGTAGTGGATTACTTATCGAAGGGTCGATTTCCGAGCTAGGCATTTTTTTGTTGATCGACCGTGATGTGTATCTTCGTTTGTATTGTAATTTGTATTTGAACTAAAGAGTAGTAATTTGTATTTGCGCCATTTGAATTTAACTTGATTTGATCGCACTAGTATTTGTTATTTGTTAATTTGATTTGTGTCTTTTCTTTTGTGCTAACTTGTATTTGCTTCACTGTAGCTTGTATTCAACTCGATTCGATACGAACTGCATTTGTTAACTGTTAATTTTTTGTTGTATTTGTTATTTGTTATCTTTGTAATTTGTGCTCGAGCCGCGTCGTAATTGTATTTTGTAGTGATGTCATCGCCCAAGCTACTAATCCGTTGCCTGCGGACTGAGTTACGCTGGGCCACCAGTGCCCATGCTTTGATAGGTCGACCGGATAGGGTCCATAACTTGATGAAGCGGTTCGAGCAGGTGGATGCTCGAAGGGCCGCAGTGGAGGAAGCTTACGCTGAGCTCGAGGATTCGGATGTGGAAAAGGGAGTCCCGGACTCCTGCTTCGCGGACTACGAGCAGTTCTTTTCGCTCACGGACGAGTTGATCGAGGCTGAAGGCAGGTATGCTGAGGAGGCGCGTGAAGCTCGGATGAGTGGCCTGCCCGAGTCCTCTCGGAAGCAGCTTCAGCCGGAGCTGTTGGGACGACTCCCAACTCTGGACCTGCCAAGGTTCTCCGGGGTCCTTTCCGAATGGCTGACCTTCGTTGGTCTTTTCGACAGCCTAGTGGACGCCCGGAGTGACTTGACCCCGAGCCAAAAGATGGAGTACCTCCTGACCTCACTGGGGGGGGGGAGGCCCTGGGCGTCGTCGGCCACTTGAGATTGTCGGACGAGGCCTACCAGACTGCTCGGGACCTCCTAGCCAGAAGATACGCCAACGTCCGGCGAATTGCGGACGAACATGTTAAGCAGCTTCTAAGCCTCCCGCTGCTTAGTGACCGGGCCAGACTACGTCCGGACCTGTTGGATCCAGTCTTGGTGGCCTGTAATACGTTGAGGCGGCTGGATTTACCAGTGGGCGAATGGGCTTTTTTGTTGCTCCGCATCGTGCTGTCCCGTCTACCTCTCGACCTTCGAATCCATTTTGAGGAGAGGTACGGCGCGGACGAGGCCTCCTATATTCCGCCCTTCTATGACCTGCTGCGGTTTTTAGAGGAGTAGTGCCGGCAGGTCGAGAACGCGGCGGGCACCGTGGACGACTTACGAGCCGTGCCCAGTGAGAGGCTGATTCCGCCAGGCAAGTCGTCGTCAAACCCTGCTCCTATTGTCGAGCATCTGATCACCGGGTAACATCGTGCCCGAAATTATTAGGTAAGCCGGTTCCGGCGAGGCGAACTATCGCCAAGGAGCGCGCTGGTGCTGCTCATGTTTGGGAGGGCACCTCCAGCGAGACTGTCCGCATCGGCGGCCCTGTCTGCATTGCCAGGGCAAGCACCATGCAGTTTTGTGCCTGGGTGCGAACGGCGTCTCCTCTCGAAGCTCTGCCAGGCGCCCGACACCCACGGGCGGGGGCGCTCAGCCACGGCCTCTGACGGGCGACTCTCGGCGCCCGCCGGCCAGCCACCAGGCCCCTAGGTTCGTAAAGGGTCCCTCTCCCGACCCGTCGGGGGGTTATTCCCCCAGGGGCGGGGGTGTCATCAACCCCCCTCAGCGTTTGAAGAGGAACTTCACGGCCACTCATCGGGCCGCTGGACCCTTCTCACTCCCGTTAGCTGAGTGGCCGCGACTGGTGTACCACTGTTCCCCATTTGATGGAGGCGGCCCTGGCTAGCTGCCGCCTTAGCTCCCACCACGGCCGCCTCCACTGAGCCTTAAGCCGTCAACAGTCCACTTGTCAAAATGTTCTGTTGCCGACGGCCTCAGTGAAGGCGTACAACCCGAGTGGCGACTGTTAGCGGTTCGCGCTCTATTGGTCTCGGGTTCACGCCGTGTGGCCTCCACTTGGTGGTGGGAAGATTAGGGCCCCCCTGGAGCGTTGAATCACGCTGTCAAGGGGTATTAGATTGGTTTGGTCGAGCACTTAGTTAAAAATTCTTTGAATTAAAATTAAAAAATGCTTTTGGGTTTTCCGCGAAATTTTCATATTTGTAGCGGTTGTGATTATATTTAAGATAAGGTTTGTAAATATATTTAATCACTGTATGTGATTATTGCGTCTGTTTGCTGAAAGGAAAGTTTGAATTCATTTGAAATTGAATGTCGCGCTATTTGGAAAATTGTGTATATGTTTTGTGATAGTGTTTAATCATGTTGCTTTGTGAAAATGAAGGCTGAAATTAGATAACCCTATTTGTGCCGAAAGGAATAAGGAGTCGTTCCTCCGTTGGTTTTCGCATTTGTAGGCACTGTCTAATACTTATTTGAAATGAGAAATAGGGCTGTCTCTTACGTTTATTGTTTTGTTTAATTTGCAAGTTGACCTATGTGCATCGGTGATTAATTTGGTTGAATTAATTCTGTAGTTGAACATTGATGCTTTTGAAAAATTAGTTGAAATATGAGCATAGGACTACTTGTCTAACAGGCTAGCTAGTTTTGGAGATTATCAGATTGAAATCAGCTGCCGCACTATTTAGTAAATGATTATATGGTGGATGGCTTGGTTAGGCCTACTTGTTGAAAATTCATACTAGGGACTATCTGTGCGTTTCGTTCGGCTCCCCACAGACGACGTTCATGTGGAATTGTGGGTGCTCTCTGCACTGAAGCTTAGGAGGCCACTCTGGCCCGCTTCGTGTCGCGTCGCTGTTTGCAGACCTGATCCGGTCGGATTGCGGAATTAATCATAGGAGCACAGATAGGTGTTTGAAGGAGGTCGTCGGACTTCTGTCTAGGATTAGGACTTATTTATGGGCTGCGATGTCCAGGAAGGGTATCCAGTTCAACCCTCCGGCTTGCCCACATTGGGGCTGTAATTTTGAGGCGTTCGTTAGGGTTGCAAGACCTGATGGGGTACCTAAGGTGGCCTGGTTTGGTTGTAGATTCGGTCTTGTAACTTGCCGTCGCGACCCTGTCCCGCTGACCGGTTTGCTCGCGGACCTAAATCCTTATGTCTGGGACGGGGGTTTGTTTACGCCCGAACAGTGGTTTCGAAATCGATGTCAGAGGGCGCGCGGCTCGGTGCCATACCGGTTTTGACGTCGGTCGAGCGGTGGGTGTTGAGAACGCGTAAAGGCGCAAACAAGTCGTCTGCCAGCTGTGCTAACGCCAGCACGCTGTCAATTTTTGTTCGGGAACTCTGAATAATTAGGCGCGGCTAGTAAATATACTGTCTAGGATTTGTAACGCGCATTCCTTGCTG